AAAATGTTTGTACTATATAAGCAATTGATAATTAAAGCCCAGAAGCTCATGTTCGTACAACGACTATTCTAAAAAATAATTTATTACAAAATTTCATAACTTTATTATATTTTGTATATTTCTATTATCAATATAAAAATTATTAATTGACATAAATCTGACTAGCCTATCATAAAGAATTGTATATCTATTTTTATAGACTGCTGCCGAGTTAATATTCACCAGCTAGAAACAAATTTGAGTCTGAACCGATTATGGTGAGAACGATATATACAATAATCCATATACATACATTAAGAAAAATGTTCAATGTTCAGCATAATTTATTTTGTCGCTTTAAAAATATGCTCCTTCTAAAACGATACACATAGGCCACCTCTTTTTAAAATCATCGAAACACGCCTTGTAAACGCTGTCTGAGATCGCCTTCTGTTCCTTCTGCGAATTTTCTTTTACGGCCACAATCAAGTCGAAACGGGTTCCACGGAGTGATAACTTGAGTTTTGGAAACACAAATTTTTGGCCGAATTCATGATGAACCAAACCGCGATATCGATAAAAAAACAATTTCATGAAACTTTCTGGTCTTAGTGTATACGTACTCATATATATATAATATTGCCAGATGTGGTCAGATCTTTGAATAAGACACAGCTTTTCTCGATTTGTATGACTTTATACGAATTAGTTTTGATGAGATTTAATTTATTGGCAGAAAAACGCACAATTAAAGTTTACTAATCGAGTCAAAAGCGTCGTTATATCGAACTTAAAGGTCCAAATTCCGAAGATTGCGTGAAAAGTGGAAAAATAAAGAACCCCTTAGGCACAGAAAACAAATTTTCTTAAACTTGTTTTACCTCTTTCAAATGTCTCGCGTAAGTTGCAAAATCCCTTAAGTGATGGACGGCTATAAAGTAGTGTTTTCGGAAGTATCAGCTAAAGCGTCTGTCACTGGCGCTTGCTGTCAGCTGTAATTGCCAACAAACAAACTTAGAATAAATATGGCAAAGGCACAAAAACACTGCCAGCTGCCAATTCTCAGAGATGTGTGCATCGGCACCTACGCCTTTCGGCGGCACGAATGCATAAAAGCATTGCGGAAAATAGAATTTCCAATAGAAATGAATTTTGCAAACAGACATACATACATAGATACATACATACATTCATTCATACTTATATATATGCATTTTGAAATAGTTTTTCTATGATATGACGTTGCTAGTGCATTGCTCTCGGCATCATATTGTTTTGACAGATGGATGCCGATCATTGACTTTTGCAGTGGGTGATGAGTGTAATGTATATACATAGTGAGGTTTTATGAGATATATTTACCTAATATTACCTTTATTGAACTTACCTTTGAGTAATGTATTTTCAAGTAGTAGACATTTTACATTTTTTCTCGCATAACTGTTCTTGATACAAATATGCTTTAATCAGGAACTATCTCACTTGAAAAATGTTGCAAATCCATCTTCTCCCTGTTGAACTTCTTATGAAAATAATTTATGTGTTTACAAAATTCTTTGTATGCAACCTGTGCTTATTGTCCATAACAATTTTTCTTGCTTTTATTATGACCACATTTCGCATACTCATATTTGTATATCACTAACTTACTCCAGCTGCACGCAGATGCAGCATCAAAGCTACTTCAATAAACATTACATCGCTCATACACATATATACACATGTATCATATGCAACTCCATGGCACACCGATATCTAAGCGAACACGCACATTTTTATTACCTAAATAATTTTGACTCGCACACACCCTGCAGGAAAAAACTACACAAAGAAGAAAGTAATTGTTCTATATACAACACGGAAATATGTATAGACTTTGAAACCCGAAACCAAAGTTTTAGTTTAAGATTCCTCCAATATTGCTATAAGAAATACTGAGCAACATGTCTCTCTATTCTTCTCCTATCCTCTTTTTTTTACCTGTCAAATTTGTTCTATATTTTATGCAGAGGCGAATTCAGTGATATTTTTAAACAATTGAAGATAAAAATAAACTAAAATGAAAATACATTAAATATTAATAATTTATTATATTATTCTGTTTTTGTTTCCAAAAAACTCTCCAAAGCAACTAGAGATCAAAAAGTTACAGTTATGATGATCTACTATTTTTGTTCTTATATTCGTTAGAAGGTATGCTCTAAATTGGATCAAAGTAGAAATAAATTTTATAAGAGACTACTAGTCTACTAAGGAAGCTAGGTATATGAGGAGCCCCGGACAGGAACACGCCGGGGACGTCTTCTGTCGAAAGCTCTCCATCAGCTCTAATTTCAGGCTACCAGATGACTGTAGCGTTTTAAAGCGAAGCAGATGTAGAGCTCCGTAGTTCGGATTTCTTCAAAAAGTGTGCATTCACTCGGAGTGGCTATACTGGCTTTCAGCTCGCTGACTGTGCGCTCAAAACTAGTCGAGGAATACATAACCCCGTTAGCAATAGTATCAAGCTTCTTCCATCTTAGACTTTTATGGGTGTACAGTCATCGGAGTGGCCGGAAACTGCAAAGCCAATGAGTTTGCTAGGGAAGGCATCCTTAACCCATTGCAGGCGAGTCGGTTTTCTGATGTTCTCGGAAAGTGCGGGTCAACAACGAGAACTGAAGGGACAGCGAGGTCCTTCTAGTACAGAGTGAACCATAAGAGATCCTCCTAACTACTTCCTCTTAGCAAAGTCAATCTCGCCGCAAATTTAGGGGTTCTGACTGGGTACTGTCCAGTAGGCTCACACACAATGAGGGTAGATATTTCGTGGGACGCTCGTTGTCAAAGCTATATGGAGGAAGGCGAGGTGAAGTCATCTTATCACTTTCTCCTCTATTGCCTCAGACTGAGAACTATGTATATCGGTAGTCACACAATCGCCAAACTAAGCGAATTGGCTGGGATTGATATTAACCGTCTTAAGAATTTTGTGTAAGCTCAAAAAGCTTCGTCGATCAATGAGGATTTGGTGATCCGCTTTTAGGAGCTTATGAGTAACATAAAGGACGAACATCTATCTAAGTGAGATCCATCGATTATTTTGAATCCTATAACCTAACCTAACTATGTAAACAATAAAACTTGTTCTTCTAAATCATGTTATGAAGCTGCTTAGCTGTCCATATTGCCCTGTTGTGCTAACTTTCCTAATAATGAAGACCAAGATATAGGGAATCTAACGAGTCCTTAGAATACCCCAACTAAATTTTGGGGAATCAATGATAGTAAGCTCTTCCAGGAACTTTCGGTTAATGATCTTTATCGCTTTCGAATCAATAACCTGGGCAGATTAAATATATTCCATCTATCCGAAATCAGTTCAGTATTAATCGCATTCTAAAACTCTTAGTAAATAGATTTGTTTGCTCGTAGAAGAATCTTCAAACGAGTACCTTATCCGCCAGATGGTTGAAAATGGAGGTCGCAAGAGTGCCAGACTACAAGCGGCCGTTCTTAAGCCATCATAATGCCATTCTGCCAACCCATCAGTCACATAGTCTTCTGTATCGAATTGTTTATCTATGGGTCTGATTTCATAAATAAGCAATGACCAAATGTGAAAATACTCCAATTCACACTAAGCTAAAGTAAATGCTCTAATTTATAATAAATACTAGGAGGTATTCTTCCTTAATATTTTATCGTGGTTTATAGCCCCGTTTTTTCTCAAAAATTCCAACTAAGCTTAAGTCAAGTAAAGATACTTTCACAAATTGTCAAAGAAATGCTAAATATTTAGAAGATATTAGCTGTGACTAAGCTCTTATTTATAAATAGATCTGCCAGAAGTTAGTTGAAGCTTTCAAGAAATTCCCCTATAGTTGCCGAGAAATTCTCTAAATTTTCCTACCCACTCTCCGGCCCTCTATGGATTATGTGTCGTTACGAGATTCCGCTATCTTCACTTTTGCACCGTGACACCCTGCTGATTCCACGCACTTTATTCTTTATTGGATTTCCAATTTCACACAGGAGAACAACAAAAAATGGGGGAAAAAGGGGAAAAGAGGGAAAACTTGCTGTGGTTAAAGCAATAAAATTGCATTCATAAATCCCCCAATCTGTGCAAGTGTGTTTGTTGGTGTTTTTGCCATTGTGTACTTTGGTGCTGAATTTATGGAATAGCGGCGCTTGCAAATACACTTCGTATTACAGTCTACGGTTGCTTCGAGTGCGTAAGAGTACCCTTACTTAGTGTCGTGACCGAACTGAAGTTGGTTGCATTATAAAGGAGGCGTCTGGATTCGTAGCTAATCAGTGATGTTGAAGGAGTAGAGTGCATGAGGTTGGTAAGGGGGTGTTGAATGAAATATAGGAGTGATTTTAGATTTCACTCAAACTCGGAAGTATTTGGAAAATATAGTGCTGTATTGTTTAGAAGAGTGCGTGAAAGAAGTAAGTGTTGCCACACTTTCAGTATACTTCAGAAGTATTTAATTTGGTCGGGTCTATAGAAGTTGCTAAAACAAAGTTTGAATGATTAACATAATTTTGTGAAGTGTGTTGAGTGCTGGGCTATTCCCGCCGACCGTGAGACAGAGGTAAAACTGTGAAGTCAAAGATAAAGGTTTGTAATGGACCCCGACATTTGCAGTGTAGGTAAATAGGTCAGGTTATGAACTCACGTCAAGTATAGGGAACCATGGAATTATATAAAAACCCTACATGGCTGCAGTCATGTCCAGAATATCAGGCTATAATGATCGTTAGGTATAAAAGGGTACTTCTATATATATATATCTATCGAAAAAACTATATCCTCAAGATGTGGTAAATTTTTAAGGATTTTACCATTCAAAACACTAATTTAAACCACGTTGTGCTTAATTTGGACCTCGAAAGACAGAATAAAATTAATTCAACGCCTTTAAAATTGATTCCACATCCTCTTAACAGTTCAAATTACCCTCCTTCACATCCAGAGTCATTCTTATCCCGCAAAATAAAATAATGAAACATCTTCATTCCTTCTCTTTCAGCAAACGACACTTTTTCACAACTCAACGTAGCATCGCATAAGCCATCAAAATTCCTTGCTGTAGTATGGATACGAATTCTGTTAGTCCATTGCCACCACCAGAAGCACCGCTTGCTATGATGGAGGTCGAAAAATCGCCACCGGGGACACCAACAACAAACGATATGCCACCACCACCGGATGAAGAAAAGTAAGTGGAAATAATCAATTATCTACTTGAAGCTAATAAAATAAGACGCAGACAGTTGTGTGAAAAATAAAAGCACACTAAGCACTAGTAGAGACGAGAAAATTTTGAGTTGAGAAAGGAAGTAAATTTTCCATATATGTACTACCTCCATTAGCAGGGAAAAAAACTTATAAAAATGTGCTTCTGTATATTCGTTTTTTCAGAGGTCCTATTTTAGGTATTAAATTTATTTTTGATAAATTAAAATGGAAATTGTACCTTGTCAATTAAAAAAGTTTTCCATATAAGGACTTGAGTTTGCTCGATCAGTTTACCTTGTATTAAAAATCGGGAAAATACCTTATCAAATGAAAAAGTTTTCCACACAAAGACTTGATTTAGATCGGTCAGTTTGTATGGCAGCTATATGTTATAGTTGTTCGATATCGGCGGTTCCGATAAATCAGCAGCTGATCGATACCTCAAAAACTGAGTGACAAGTTCGCGTATACAGATATATACAGACATATAGACGGGCAGACAGGCGGACATGGCTACATGAACTTAAGTCGTCACGCTGATCATTTATATTTATATTTTATAGGGTCTCCGACGTTTCCTATTCCTTATCTATCGTTAATTGCTAGATTTTTGCTCATAACTGTGTATAATTTAACCAAAGAGAAAACTGTCAAGGTCTATTTAAAAATGTAGCCATTAAATGTATTTAACCTAAAAAACTTCTTTTCATATATTTTCCCTTTAAGCACATACCTACAATATATTTAAGGAGGGGTTTACGCTTCCACTTAAATAGCCAGTGTTATATGCATGTATTTATATATATTATATAAATATATTTGTACTTCTGCTCAGCATTCGCCACTGCTTGGACACTTGAGAATTTCACTTAGCAATTCGGTAACCACTCATTTCCTGAGTTAAATTAAGATAGTTCCTGCGCCGTGTGGAATTTCGCACGGCCAATCAAGTGTTATGCCGTCACACCTACATATTTTCGGCACATATACCTACGTATATATTTATGGTTACATATACGTATGTATGTTAGGAATCATATCTCTCTATGCTGTATATTTACCATACCTTAGCCACTTGCTTTAAGTGTACTCAAATTTAATTAAATAAATCTCGTACTCATAGCTGGAGACAATGTGGACTCGTAACGTGTCAGTAGCAGCAACGCGAGATTGTTATTCGTGAGCCAGCGACGATCTGGCAATCAGTGCACATTGCTCATTTATTCGATGACTCTAACACATTTAAATAAAAAAAATTTCTGTAGAGCAGCTGATTAACTATGCAGATATTTGGTTGATAAACAAAACTGCTCGCTATCACCGTAGGAATATCAGATAATTTGTTTTAATCTACATAAATAGCTGCTGTAATATATTCCACCTACATTTATTTAATCAGCGGCTGTAGCCGAGTGCGCTGACTGCGTGACTAACACATGGAAAGTATTGGGTTCAAAAGTAACGAAAAACTGTATCTAAGTGATCGAAATAGTTTTTTTCTAATAGCGGTTACTCCTAACCGGGAAGTTCCTTAAGTGTATCAGCCATTAAGAGGCCACCTAAAAATAGCCCCGCTTTGCATTTATTCGATAATGATAGGGTCAAACCTAATGGAGTTGTATACTTAAATGACTACCAATTATAAAATTATCTCTGATATATTTTATTAATGACTTCACTTTTATTGTGTACCAAGCAACAGTCAAGTCATCAAGTTTTACCTTATATCTCCCAGTCAGGCTGCTGTGAATATTTATTGTTTTGTTATTTACATTATTTTTACCGCTTAAACTTAGGTAATCTAAATGGCTAATATAAGAACAAATATTGACAGATTTAAATTAAATAAGACATCCTTAAAAAATTTACTCAGCGTCGTATTTACCAAAATTTTACATTTCGCCATTTATGTCTTATTTCAACTTCTCTCCCGTCAAAGTTCAAAACAGTGAGACAACATTCTTCACTTCATTCATCATTTCGGTCTTGGTTACAAAATATATAAGATCCTACTTAAAAAAGAGTTATCGGCTTTTAATCACTTTTTTCTTCACTTATCAGAGAGTGGTAAATATTATCATCGAGAACTTACTAAAAAGAAAATTACGCCTGGAAAGGTTTCCATAACCACTTTGTTTATTTATTTTAGAACAGAACTCAAGGAAACTTTGTGGTAGAGTCCACCTAGTATTGAAGACGTCAAAAAATCTCGTTAAAAACCTATTTCATACATTCTCTTTATGGATGCTAACATGCACAATATGTTCTCAGTTGTTTACAAAACTCAACTTCTGAATAAAATTGTTGTAAATTATTCACCCTAAAATATATCTGGATAATGCAGTAATGTAGTATTTGAAAATTGACTGCGATATCTCTTTTGCCCCACTAACTTCTCATTTTCACTCACTCTTAAGACCTTTAGAGACACAATTTATTTAAGCTTCCGCACCTTACTTTACAATACAAGCAAACGAACGCTTAACCCAATTCGCCATGCACTTCTTAGAAGTCTTTTCAAGCACTGTTTCTTTAACTTCTTTGATCTTAACGTCATTAACGGGGGATGACTCACGATCTTCAGTGAATGCTTTTTGGTACTCAGAATTTGTGCTCGTGATAAAGTACTTATAGACTCCAAAAACCTTCTGTAACATTTTCATCGATTCTGTAGTAGTGATTTCATTGGAGACACAAAATTTCAAGCAAACTCGTTAAAAAATTTTCCATGGTAAAATGGCCAGACAAGCTTTTCACGTCGTTAACTTAACAGATGTTTGTTTACAAAGCGAAAAGCTTGACTGGCGATTTTCTAATTGAAATATGGAGATCAAACTTCACTCGAACATAAAAAAAGTTTGTTCCCTAAGAATCATAGATTTTCAATCTCAGTTATGGCTTACTTTTTATTTTAGATCTTACGCTAAGCCTACTCTTACGATTTTTTCTTACCTTAAACTTTCTCAAAAGGATATTGTGTGATTCTTATTCATTTCGAATATTTACCCATTTACCGGAAACCCGTATTTTTATTCATCCAGTGACTGTTTGGGTCTAAGCAGCTCACACAATCTCTCGGTCGGAGTATTTTTAGCTCAGGAAACAGATAAGAGATATGCGACTTAATAAGGCCGTGAAGAACTGTTGATTTACAATTTGCTTTCCGAAATTAGATATTGGTGTTTTTATTATTATATATTATTGATACCCAGCTATTTTGTCTTTCCCAGGTTGAAACGTGGCTCGCTGAAAAAATATTTTACTCAAATGAAGAGTTCAAGGTGGGAACAAACGCCTCTTTTGAAGGCGTAGAAGCATTTTTTAGAGAAATATTAATATTAAATTATAAAAACTTCGTATTTTGCTTTTCATTTTCACATTATTTTAGAGTGTGAACCATAAATACCTAAGTAAACTAAATTTCTTTTCCAATTTTTCACTTAAATCGTATTATTTTTACATGACATATATATAGTACGTGTGTATGCTACATTGTATATGTAAAATGTCCGATAAAATGCGTACATTGTTGCCAATGTCAGCGCACATAGTAGTAAATGTTCACAAAAACACCCAGACACCGATACATACTATATATCTTTCGTTCTAAAATAGTAATCGCATAATAGCTACAGCGTTGTGCCACCTACTTTTGCGAACTTCCTTTGACATCCTTTTCCTTGCCAAATGCTGACCAACTGACCGCGCGCAATCAAAAGTTAGTAATTGAGGCTAGAAAAATATATTTCAAGCGTGTGCCTGTGTATGTGTTATCCGAACCTAAACTAAAGACCTCTAAAAAACATTGTAAAAAGTTAATGGCACCGATATTGTGGCTTGACACAAACTAAATATCCGGCGCGTACACACCCAATGCACAATATATTCAACAGTTGATTGCGTGTTAAGCCGACTCTTGCTTCTATTGTATAATTCTATGCTATTTAACGGTATTTTTATAACTTTGAAGCGATTTATGCGACGAAAATTGGGTTTATATATTTGGCATGAATTTAAAGAAGACTTAAATATGTACAATGTTGCAGAGGTATCAATTTATATGGCAGTTATGTCACGTGTCGTAGCTTAGTAGCAGTGATATGGGGTTTAATTGGACCCCAATATTTGTTTGGGTCTTAATTTTTCTGAAATATTGTTCTCTAGATGGGAATATTGAAGTTGGCGATCGATTTTATCTAAAAAATTCTGATGTTACAAAACTTTTTCCCTAACGGTTGCATATATATGTATATATGTATGTTTCCATATTTCCACACCAGTCTCTACTTAGTGAGGACACAAACCATTTCCAGCTTAAGTTTTCAAACACTGGAAAAGCTACTGTATGATTAACAATCTGTTAACAACAGTCAAGTGCTTAATGTTATTTAACAGCGATCTTCAGTTGATAACAGATAAATATTGTAAGTATTTAAATTTTTTGTATGAGCTATGTTCGTATGTATTAACTCAGATTCAATCTCTCCGGCTCTCACCAAATGCTCCAATGCAATTTTATCACTTATCTGTGCAACGAATGCTGTACAGCTGACCGGCCAGTAAGTGTCCGTAGTTTGTTGGAGGCTGTTGGAAAAGCATAAAGACGAGCAAAAACAAAAACAAAAAAAAAACTGCGAGACAATAAACAATTTCGTGATTTTGAAATAAAAATAATCTAAATGTGTTAGCACAAAGCTTAATTGAGCAAGAACTTTTTATAAAGTGATTTAAGTAGTGAGATAATATTGGTATACCATATAAGTGCTTATGTATGTGTATAAATGTTTGTATATATGTGAGTAAAATGATTACTCAATAAATTGTAGAAAGCGCAATCAAATGCAGTTTATTTAATTGTAGAAATGAAATAAAAAGAATAATGTTCGCATAATACAATAAATTACAAAAACTCAAATAATAGTTAATTGGAAAAAATTAAATTAATTTAAATTTAACTAAAAATAAATAAAATATAATAAA